TTTATACTATAATATCATTGTTTCTGATTTTTCTGATACTCCACAGAAACGTTTTATTATTATTTCTGTGAATTAAAAATAGCGAAAAGCATAACTAAACTAGAAAAAGGATCCGACAAAGGATCGATTCCCCAGTTCATTTCAAAATTATCCGATAAAATCATCTATAATTAGCTATTCTATTTTATTTTATACTAGATAATCATTTAATATTTAATTATTGTTAAGTCAATACCGAAAAGAATAATCTTAGTTATTTGATTTTCCTATTTCATATAGGATATTCCACCTGAACCAGAGTGGTTAAAACTATTAAAATGGATTCTTATGGGTATTTCTTTGCTGCTTCTTATATTTTATATAATTTGCATCGCCTATTCCGTGTAAGCAACTTTTATTTTAATTAGTTAATATATTTAATTGCATTAATTTAATAATTTTTCCATTTTCAGACCTTTGCACGAACAATTTCACACAATTCGATTCAACACATCTATCGCTGCTGTAGTTGCTTTAGGCTCATTTTTAGCTGCCGAATTTTTACGTGACAATGAAGTAAAATTTTACATATATATATATATATATATAATTTTAGTAATTCTCATAAATAAAAATAAATTTTATTTACCATGTTAGGAGGTATGCAGAATTTTATCAGGTACTATCCATTACTCCTACACCGCTGTTTCAGCGTGGCTTTTAATGGAAGGTCACGCATTATTCAGTGCTATTGTAGCTGGTGTTGTTAAAGGAAGAGTTTTCTTATATTTACTTCTTGGTTGGGGTAAGTTAATTTTATTAATTATTTCAACTGCTGATTATAAAATTCTAATAATTCTATAGGCTTGCCTGCTATAGCTGTCGGTGTTTCGGTCGTCTTATATACAGATTACGGCTACGATTACAGGTAAATTAAATAAGTAAATTTATTAAATAAAAATTAATGTTAATTGTGTTTAGTAGTCCTAAANTTAATTTCTTTTAGTTTTCTCACAAAACACTTCGATTATTGGTATAATCTTGGAATCCCCGAAGTACCTCCAATAATTTTTACAGGTTCAAAAGGCTTAGATTTCAGAACTGTAAGTCTTATATTAAAATTTAATAAACTTTACATGACGTTTTATTCGAATAATTTGTTGCAGCCAATGGGAAAATTAGATCAAAAATGGTACGAAAAATACGGCAAAATTTTTGGGTAAAATATTTTTATACTTAATAACGTACTAAAGCTATAAAACTATTTAAACACTTGATCTTATTTCAGTATTTATGAAGGTTTTACTCCAGTTCTTATGATAGCAGAACCAAAGTGGATAAGGAATATTTTAGTTAAAGATTTTCAATACTTTGTGGATTTAAGAGTAAGTTATTAATTTAGAAAACAAAATATACACTTATATATATCATTATAGTCATTACAGTTATTTTAATTTAGACCCCTCTATTTGTCGATCCTATTATAGATAGGATGCTTTATGTACAAACTGGTAAAAAATGGAGACAAATGAGAGTGTTGATAACTCCTACTTTTACTTTTAGTAAAATAAAAATGGTAAGTATTATTAAAAAATATTATCTAAAATAAGATTTTAATAACATTTATCTTTTTAGATGACCAATTTAATTATTGAATGCGCCCAAACTTTAGCAGAGAATTTGTTTGAAGTTGCTGAAGAAATGATAGAAGTCGACATTGAAAAGTAAGTTTTTCCTAGTCTAAAAGGCTTCTCGAATGAAAATTGAACTTGATAGAAGGATATAATTCTTATTTATGCAGTTATGTACTGGATCACTTTATTCCTGGACGCTACATAAAATAGAAAAAAAAAATACATTAATTAATAATTATACTCAATTTAACATAAACATTATTGTTGTTCTGTGTGTAAATTCTTAAACGTTTATTTTATAATAAAATAGTAGAAACTCATAAATAAAATAAAATTTTAACAACGAAAACAATTTGTGATATCATTATTTCATATTATATTATTTGACTAATTTTATTTTTATATTACCTTTGAGTTTAGATAGATTTAAAATTTATATGCTGGATTTTACTTAAAGTATATCATTACAGATACTTCGGTGCATATTTTATAGATGTTATTGCTAAATGTGCCTTTGGTATTACATTAGATTCGCAAAAGGATCCAAATAATCCTTTTGTGAAAGCTGCCAGAAATACTATAAATCCTGGTCCATGGAAAGTTTATTTATCAAGTAAAGAATTTTATATTAAAATAGAATTCCAATAAAATTGTTACATAAAAATATTATTTTTGTTCTTCAGTTTTCTTTCCCAATTTGACTAAATTCCTTCGTTTATCTGTTTTTGCTCGTTCTACAACACGACTTTTTAAGAAATTGCTCGAAGAAGCAATAGACAAAAGGAAGAAAATGAAAGATGTATGTTTTATTAATAAAAATATGATTAATATAAATTATTTAACAAAAATTTACTTCTAACAGGAAGAAAAACCAAATGATATTCTACAGTCGCTACTGGAAATACGAATTAATGATATTATTGCAAAAAAGTTCGAAAAGAAAGGTACACTGTTTCCATTTAGTACATTGCTTTTTTTGCACGTAATTCATAAATTTTAGATTTTAAATTAATTACAATTCGATTAGTTTTTGAATTTGAAGATATAATGGCCCAGTGCATGATGTTTTTCGTCAAAGGTTATATGTCAACAAATGCTACATTTACATTTTTAGCTCATGAACTTGCTAAACATCCAGACATTCAAGAGAAACTTATAAAGGAAATTGATGAAACTTTTAAGGATAAAGTATAAATTTATAATTAACTTTAATTAATTTTTTTATTACTTTACTTAAACAGCTTGCTTTTTAGAAAGAAATAAATTATGATTCGATTGTTGGAATGAATTATCTTGACGCAGTTTTTCAGGAAACGTTGAGATTATACACCCCTTTACCGAGGTATTGTTTGAATAAATCGTATATTTAGCTTTTAAAAATCTACTCAATTGTAAAATTTTATTTGTTTTTAGATTGGAAAGAACATTGACAAAAGAGTATATGTTTGAAAATACTGGAGTAAAAATACCGACACATACAATTGTAGCAATTCCAACATATGCTATACATCACGATCCACAATACTTTCCTGATTCAGATAAATTTATTCCTGAGAGGTAAGCTATTAATGTTAATGTCAATCTTTTAATAAATGTAAATAAGTATAAGTTTGATAAATAAATTAGATAAACTTATATATTACTTAAACTAAGCATAAGTTATGCTTAGTTTAAGCAGCATCTAAGTTTATCCTATTTATTTTATTTTAAAAGTTATTCATCTGATAAATCTTTCAGGTTTTTATCCGAAAATAAACAGACCCTCTATCCCTATACTAATTTACCTTTTGGAGCAGGACAAAGATATTGCTTAGGTATGAGATTAGCTACTCTTGAAATTAAAATTGCTTTGATAAAAACACTCCAACGTGTCAGGTTTAGAAGAGGAGCTAACACAAAGGTAAATCACGTATAAAATAAATTATTAACAGCAATAAAATATCTTTAAATTATTTTTTGTTATTTTAGGATCAACCGGAGTTCGATAAAAACAAGAGGCTCCATTATCCCAAAAACGTGTTTCTTAATTTTGATGTAAGAGAAGATAAATTAATTACTTAATAAAATTCTTGTCTGTCAACGAAAATTGTAATCAGGATTAGAAATTATTCATTTGATGTTTATTTATTTTTAAATTGTGTATGTAATAAGTTATAAGTTATAAAATAAACAGTTGTCTTAGTATTTATGAACACTTACGTTCAATTTTAGACATTTAATTTATATACAAAAGATATAAAATAAATATCAACAGTACCATTTATATCGACGACAGAAAGTATCTAAAACAAATTTTATAGAAACATTAATTTTGTTATTATCGAATAAAAATATTAAGAAAGACCATTCAAATTTTTATTTTATATTTGATTTATTAACATAAGAATAAATTTTAAAAATAATCTGTATAATACACATTTTTTGTAGACATAATGCCTATTTATCAACTCGTAATTTATTTATTAAAGGAATGTTTATAAGCTATAATGTCTTATCAACATTATTTAATTAATATAAATCTCAAAATATTATTAAAATGATAAGATCAAGTATTTTATTAATTTATTGTTAAAAGTTTTTTTTATTTCTTACAAGATGCAGTACATCCTGTAATTTATTTGGGCTAAGATAAGACGTCATTTCCTCAATTCATGTCAAAGCATTAATTAATCAAATTGTATCGTGTTACGCGTCGATTAGATAAAGGTTCACAAAATACAGTAATGTGAAATTCATTGACATGGTATAGAGTTATCACATACAACATTATATGAAGAGCGCTTGTATATTAGTTCAAAATGGCTGATCTCTATGGAATTTCATATTACGTTTTAATTCTTTTCGGAATCTTCTTAGCACTTTATCTGTAAGTATAATATACTATTTACTTTATCATTTATACTAATTTTCTTAGAGAGTAAAAATGTAAATTAGGCCTATATCAAATCGATCCGTTTTAAATGTATTTTATCAATAAGAAATTTGTTATATTTTAATTTATTCTCAATTAAATTTCTAATCGTCTCGATCAAAAACAAAGTAATTAGAGTAATTAAAGGAATTTTTGTAGGGTTGGGAAACAGGGCCATTCACAACTTCTATGGTAGGTAGACTGGACTTCTTCTGCTCCTTAGTGGGTCCGTATTGCCATTTTTTTTTTTTTTTGAAAAAATGAGATAAATAGTGTTTGTTTATTCGTTCGGAGCCAATCTTTATATTTTTAAATAGACTTAAACACTATTTTATTTTTATGGAAAAAATAAAGACGCTTTTTAGCACAGTTATGGCTTACTGTTTTTAACAATAATGTAAAAATCATAATAACTTTAATCATTTCAAATTTTATAAATAACCTGAATATATTTTATTATTTAATATATAAAATAGATTATTTGATGTACACTGACATATATATATTTATTCAATTTTTCTATGTTTAGCAAATCACAAATTATAACGATAAACATGCTCTGAATTTGACGAAAATTCTATCTCTTTGTCAAGGTTAACGCTGATTATGAATTGACCTATAAACTTGTTCACTAATAATATTTGTTTTTCTACTTGTATTAAATTTATATTTATTTGAACTCATTTCCTACGTTTTGATTGTATTACTTTCTAATTTATTTTAAAATTTCAATTTTAACAACTTAACAACTTAAAAATGATTAAAGTTTATTGTGTGAAACAAAAAATCTCAACTGACTTATGAGATATCAATCTGAAGCTTTCGATTGCCGAATGGTTAAGGGACTAATGGAGGAGTGCACAACATATACACTATGGACCTCATTTGTCCTCTAAATGTTTCAATGAGGCTCTTAGCATAATTTTGATAAAATATATTTATGTTGTCCAGATATTCAAGAGCTTACCAGTGATTTTAACCACTGACCAGTGTTCAGTGGTTAAAATCACTGAACACTGGTCGTGGGTTTGCGACTGACCAATGGATTGGTCGCGTGGAGTTTTCCGGGTTTTTTTCACTTGCCTAATACTAAAATATGGGCCAGTTTATCAAAAAGTTCTCCCGGGAGGCACTTCGTAACAGATCGACACGTGTTGCATTACCTTATCCCATCCATCCAATCCAGTCCAGATATTCATAAATGAATTAGCAATATTTTAATATAAATCCATATAACAAATTACAGTTTAAGAGAGGTATTGTTAGATTTGCACACGAATATTTGTTAAATGTCCGTAGGAATATTTTTTGAGCTATAACGCTGCAGCTCGCTTAAAAACAATTTAACTTAATGCGACTCATGACAACATCCCTGACTAACATTTCCTTCAATTATTAAAGTAATAAAGTACAGGAAAAGCCTAGTTATTGAGTTTAGTGTTGCTAGGAAAAAACACCGCAATAATCGAAACTCGTGATAATCGTGGAGAATAACATACGGGAAATCATTTACGCATTCAGAAGTAATTGTGAACAGGACGGCTGCACCCCCTCGGATCAGGTCTGATACCATCTGTGACTTTCGGCTCACAGGAGCCTTCAAACCGCGCGAGCGGTCACGTATATAGGACTTTTACGGAGTAAAGGATGGAGGAGGGAAACTTTAGAGACAAGAAGGCCCGGTAGTAAGACACTCAACTACTGAATTCAATAAAACAAATAACATTTAATAAATTACCTATAGGAGTTACTATATTCTAGCAGACTAGTCTATAATTTATTCGCGCCTAACATAAGTTTCGCGGTTGAAATTTGGTGATTACTGAAAGGAGAAGGAAAGTCTCTTATTTCTACTCTTTGTAATAATCCTCGATATTAATAATCACAATTGTTTCACGTTCATTATCCTTTAGTTTAGGCAGCGGCTGGATTAGTAGGAACAGGGTGACTGACAGGACTAGACAGAGAGATGACCGCCGAATTGGACGAGGACGATCTTCTTAACTTTTTTGTTGGGGATCTCATAAAGTCATCTTTGACAAACAGCTCTCGTGTTAGTTCGTAACTTCTCTCCGCGCTTCATTAATGTTTTTAAGAGTATTTCTTATGGTAAAATTTTTCTAAAATTCTATTAAAGATTCTTCTGTTGTTTTTCAATTGGGATAAAAGGCTTAAGTGCGTAATATGCTTTAAATGTTGAAATCACTCCTCTGGTCCACAAGCTGGAGTAATGAAGTAGTATTAAACGGTAAGAAAAACACTGTTAACGCTTCGACACAAATTATTAGGTTTTGTTAGATGGCTAGGAGCATTATCTAGAATTAACAAAATTTATATTCTATTACTGAACATCGTCACAATGCCAGGATGCAATTTTTAATCATATATTTTTAATTTATTTAATTTAAAATATACGCTATCCACCTCAAATTAATAGTGTCTTGTCTTTTTATATCATACTTTTCTTGTTAGCAATAGAGTCGAGCAGGTCATTTATCTAATTCCTTTTAAGGGAAAAATTTTGAATTGAAATAATGTGACTTCCTGTTTGCATAGAAAATTCTTATATAGTTAAATCGGGACTTCCTGCCTTTAATTTTTCCATATCTAGTGTCGGCTTTCATCTATCTTACTCCGTTTTCGAGATTAAGGAAGAGTAGACAGATGAAAGCTGGGGTCTGAGGGAATCCAAGACACAAGTTAAATTTTAGTCATTATTGCGAGAACCGTTAGTGAAAACTTAGCTGTTTTTACATCAATTCATACTTCCATATGTTGGCTACTAAATGGATTATGACATTAAAAAATCTAAACTACCTTTCCTCAAATAAAGTATAAAACTATTCTGTGGTGCGGGGTAATAGCAGGCAGTACCGGTAACGTGCCTCACTAAAGAAATAACTACGTACAGTTTTCTGGATTTTCTTCACGTTCGTAATACCTAAATAGAGGATAGTTTCCTGCAGAGTTTTCTCGGAAAGCATCCTTCTTAGACAGTAGAATGCCTTCCGAGAGGATTCTATGTGTTGAGTTACCGTATTCCATTAAAGTAAATATCAATACTTTGATTTCGTTTTTAGTTATTTAACACGATATTTTGGATATTGGAGTAAACTCGGAGTACCTGAAGTGCCTCCAATGATTTTCACGGGATCAATGCGTTTAGATTTTAGCACTGTAAGTTTTTCATTACAAATTTATTACAAAACTTCTTGCATCTTTATTGCTATTATTTACGAAAATGAATACTTATATTAGCCTCATGGTGTACGTGAGCAGAAATGGTACAAGAAATACGGAAAAATTTTTGGGTAAAGAAGTTTTATATTTGAGAGGATTCTGAAATTTTAAATTATTAAAAATATAATTTGTTTCATTTCAGAATTTACGAGGGATCAAATCCAGTTCTTATGATAGCTGATCCAAATTTAATGAAAGATATTTTAGTAAAAGATTTTCAATCTTTTATGGATTTAAGAGTATGAAATGCAAAAGAAAACATTATAGTTATATTTTATAGTATAATATACAAATAACAATTTTTAGTTTTATTATTTAGAATCTTAAATTTGGAGATCCAATTATTGACAGGATGCTCTTTGTACAAACCGGTAAAAAATGGAAAGACATGAGAAGTATTATGACTCCCGCTTTCACTATTAGTAAAATGAAGATGGTAAGTATTTAAACACACGTACTGCATCAATTAAATACGATATTAATGAGGTAGACTTATATCCTTTAGATGACAAAGTTAATTAATGAATGTGCCCAAATATTAATCGATAATTTCTTAGAAGCAGCTGGAAATAAAATAGAAGTTGATATTGATGAGTAAGTTCTGTTTAAACTATAATGTAATTTAATAGCTATGTAAGAAAATTTAAAAATTTGTTTTCGGTAGAAAATCGGCTTCAAAATAAATATAAACTGTTTTCTTTATTTAGGTTAGTAATATGTATAGCCTATAATATAACAAATATTAAATTACAGAAGTAAAATATTACTTAATTTCTATTACAATTTCAAATGTAGGTGTGTATAGCATAAAAAACTCTTTATATTTTACTTAATTATAAATATATATGTAATTTTTAGGTATTTTGGTGCGTATATTACAGATGTTACTGCTAAATGCGCTTTTGGTATTACATTAGATTCGCGAAAGGATCCAAGTAATCCTTTTGTAAAGGCTGTCAGAAAAACTATGAGTCCTGTTCCATGGAGAGTTTATTTATCAAGCAAGTAAAATTATTAATATTAAAATAGAATTTAAAAATCATAAAATTTTTATAAGGAAACATTTTTTTATTTTTATTTTTTTAAGTTTTATTCCCTGGTTTGGCTAAATCCCTTCGTTTATCATTCTTTGATCCTACCGCATCCCAATTTTTTAAGCAAGTCATAATGGAAGTGATCGAGCAAAGGAAGAAAATGAAAGATGTATGTGTCATGTAAATATGATTATTATAAATTGCATTACATTTACATTTAATGGAAATTTATTTTAAACAGGAAGATAAACCAAACGACTTTCTACAGTCTCTTTTAAATCTAGAGAGAGACGTTAATAATGCCGAAAAGAAAAGTAGAACATATTATTTATTTATAGTTTTATAATTTAACATTGTTTAAAACTACACATAAACTGATTTGTGATTTGGTTAGGTTTAGAATTGGAGGATATAGTAGCCCAATGCATCATGTTCTTCATCGCAGGCTACATTACAACAAATGCTACATTTTTATTTGCTGTGTATGAACTTGCTGTACATCTAAACATCCAAGAAAAACTTATAAAAGAAATTGATGAAACGTTTAAGGATAAAGTAAAATTTTAATAACTCTTTATCTTAAATTGTAGTTTATTCTGTCTAAATTTATGTTTTAACAAATTATTTTATAGGAAGACGTGGATTATGAATCAGTTATTGAGATGAAATATTTAGACGCGTTTCTTCAAGAGATACTCAGATTATATACGCCATCACCGAGGTATTATTTAAAAAACGTGTCGGCTTTCATC